TTTCCTTCGAAAGCAATATGATAAACTTTGATGCTAAGCAGTCCAGCTGGATACATCTCAAATAATCCTTTTGATTTTCGAAACGCTGCTCTTTCTGAAGTCTAGGTTCAAAAATGTAGAACACTGGACTCTCAGTTCCGTAATGTCCTAAGACATTTGACGAGGCCAATCATCCCTTCACTGCCTCAAAAGCTCTCAACCTGTTGCTCGTAAAAATCTACTCTCTTCATCCTCTTGCTTGTAACCTACATTCCATCTCCTTGTAGTAAGGACTACAAACAAATTTCTTCTTTGATACAACGAATTTTGCTTGGCATAGACAATGAAATGTCAGCAACATTAATGCCTCGGAAATGATGCATCTAACAAGGGATGGACACGAGTCACCGTGGTCCTTCCACGTATACAGAAATACTCGGCTCGAAATGCTAATTTTCAAACCAATGTTTGCTGTTTGCACAGCGATTCCCTTTGAAAAAAGCAGCTAGCAAACAGTTATACGCTATTTGGGAACTTGGCCGTATTTCCTTTCCCAAGTAGAATATCTGACTTTTAGGCACTAACAATGAATTTGAGGTTGTCAGTTTTGGTTTTCAGTTTCTATAAATAATTTGGGATAATTTGCTGGCTGCTTTCGCATTCTTCAAAACCTGTTTCACACAAGCGCAACAACATTCTACTCATAGGATATTGTTCGATGAGCTTGAATATCGGTGTGAACTTTGCCTTGTGTTCTCCTCCCCGCTGCCCAGGAGTCTCGCACGGTTTTTACGACATGAATCAGGTTGGTCAGCGCTATGCATGGCCTACCAAAACTGCATTTGATTGTAAAGTTATTATGCCGTTCTCGTTCTTTAAATGACGAGTAAAACAGAATTCCGTTTTACCCGTCATTTAAAGAACGAGAACGACTTGAGCAAGAAATTCTGTTCACAATTGATCCATTGGTAACTTCCTTCTCTTTTTCTGAACACGCTAGGCGCACTGCATAAATAAATTTAAAGTGTTTCACTTATATAGCCAAAGGTCGAGTACTTTCCATAACTGATTGAAGTAAATAATATCTATACCACCTCTAAAAACACATTATGCAAAAGTGTCGTCTCTTGTACAATGCTTGGTGCATAATAGGTTGTCCCATAAGTTCCGTCCGTTTTTATATTTAGTCCCTATAACTCACATTTTCTTGACTCCTAAGAAACTCTAGGATAACTTTCGATAGAGCAAGGCAAGCTCTACAAAGTGGCATTTCTGCCTAGAGTTGATTCCACCTCGAATTAAAGACCAACTTCTTTGAACACCTAGGTAACCTAAAAAATCGCACATTCGAAACTCCGCGTAAAAAATCTGTAGGTAGCTCTAATTGTTTACGTGTACACATTCTTCATCTAATTCTTATGCACATTTGCTGTATCTTTTCCAGTGCTAGAAACTCAGAAACAGATGAGGCCGAAAATACGATAATGTTGCTTCATTCGGGTTTATTACACTACTCTCAAAATTTCTCTATATAATTATTGCTTGTGGAAAGCCAAAACTTTCTGGTTATACCTCCAAAGGCTGAAGCTATAGAATTTGTATGGGAGCATATCAGCATGGCTTTGAAATAACATATGAAGGTTATATAAGTGTACATGTGTTAGTTAGAGTGAATTAGAGCTTCCCACGAACTTTTCGAACAATGAGTCAGAGCTTCCCAAGAACTTTTCGAACAGTGTCCTGAATTTTTTTTAAGTTCTTGGGTTTTTGAAAGTTTTGCAATACAATGTTCAACCCAGTGTAGAATGCTGCGCAACTGGCTCTACCCTTTTTAGAGCTTGCTTTGCTCTATGAAAGGTGCCTCAGAGCTTTTTGATAATCAAGAAATGTGGTATGGCGATGAAAAGTGAAAAAGAACGGAATTTACGGGACAACCTGATACAAACTCCACAATACTTTTGCAGTGAAAATGATCAATCAACTTGTTCGTTTTGTTCTGACGCTAGACCTTGACAATTTACTTTTTTGTAAACGCCTCCCACTAACAGCGTTCATTTTTCACTGAATGAGGATAATTATCGGATTCCTCGAATAACGATAAACTCTGAATAATCGGATAGCACATATCATATGTATTGCATAAAATGGGAAACAGCAAATTCTACAGTAGTCGAAAAACTATGATTATTGCCACTTTCTGATCGACCAAACTGTAACAGCTCTATCTGCACTTTGAAATGCATGTGTTGATTTTCGTCGCTTCGTATTTCAATAATTTATGGGGATTGGCCTACATTTTGCAAATCCTTTTAACTAATCCTGTTGGAGAAAAGGAACATCTCTTGAAACCATGTTCTGTTAAGGCATGTAAAACAAAGAAGCCCCTGTGAAGCAATCTCAAGCAATTTTCAATCATTTTACATCTAGCCAAAAACTTCACAGCATATCATGTTAATTTATTTTTTGCTTCCCTTTCCTTGTTCTCTATTGCACTTTATCAGATCGGAAGATTTTATCGGATGCTACTGTCACTAATTGTGTTTAAGAACTTTTACGCTATTTCTTGCTTTTCATCTGAATATAATATGAAAAGACTGCTCCAATCCACCATTAACTTAAACATAAAAGTGAGAAACGTCATTATTTGAGAACGGTTCTTGAAAAGTTTTGATCATTTGGGTAAGAGGGTGAATCTGTCAATGCAGCAGTAAAACTCTGAGTTAATCCAGTCTTTGATCCTCAAACAGTAGCTTTGTGACTGAATCAATCACCAATACTGCTTCTGTGATTGCGGGCATTCTCAAAAAGCAAAATTAGAAATAAATTATTTCATAAAGTGATTAGTGAAAAAGTATTGAATACACTGTGTGCGCATACGCACATTTTAAGTTGTCCCGAAAGTTTTGTCCGTTTTTCAAAGCATTGTACAACCACGCACAATAAAGACCTGAATGAGTTTCAACATGCGTTCGATGCAGTTTTTATTCTATTTCTTATGTGTACATTTTCGAACAACTATGCTTTTCAGATAATTGCCGAAATTCTCGGCCTGTCAATTTTATCCGCTCAAAGTTAGGCTAATTTTGAGGAATTTCATTCCTAACTTTTGGAGAGGGTCGAGTATGGATCAGATCCAATAAAGCAATTATCGGACTACAAGGTGATACTTTTAGATTCTCCCAATCGGCTGTTCTAAACCTTCAAAAAAATTTTCCTTCGGAGGTCTCGATTTTTGGCAAAGTCATGGAACACGCAACCGCAGCAAATACACGAAAGCTTTTGAAGTTTCTGCGAACTGAAACATGATTCTTATCAAACATTATTTATGCAACATAACCAAGTTTGGTTTGCTTTGAAGAAGCATTTTGGAATTTTCGGCACTTTTACGTGGAGACGTAATCAAAAAGCCGCGGTTTTTGTCAAATAAATGATTATACGGACTTGGTAAACGTGGCCCATGTGATTTAAAATGGGTATAATGTAGCCAAAGGTTTGCTCTACATAACAATCAGCAGCGCTCTTTGGAAACATCAGGATAAAAACTTTCGAACTCCAGGAAAGATTTGGCGTTGTCGCTGAGCTGCTCAGAAAGCCATGGCGATAACATTGCAAAGACGGGGTAAATCAGAGAGCAAATATAGTTGTAAAAGAAGGATAACTTTGAATCAAAATGTGCCTAAGGTCCATGGATTGGTGTTCTGTGATTTTTAGTGAACAATGAAAAAAACGGAACAAAACTTTCGGGACAACCTAACATATAACGGCTAGAATAATTTCACTTCACCATGCAAGTACGAAACTTTCAGGTTCAAAACTGTTATTAAGCCAAAATATTCTGTTGGAAGGCAGTTTCACGCCTCTACTCTTACATATCACTTGTTAGAATTTCCGTCATATATCAGGTTGCTCGGAAATTAATGCACGTTTTGCTACGTTAACTTTAAAAATCCATAACTCAACCCTAACACAAGCTACCTAATCGGATAAGAACCATTGGAATCAAATTTTTTCGTGCAGGTAGCAACAATTTATAGACCTAAAGTCGATAAACTCTAAAAAAGCGTTTTCGACATCTTTTTTACTAGAAATTTAACGATATTTTCTATTAGCGAAGCCAATACTATACTAATGTAAGCTGCCCTAAGATGTGGAAAAGTCATGGTTTACTTGTTCCTAGCTGCTTAGCGTTATTCCGCGAGTTATGGGCTTGCTGTTGTGTAATCAACAAACTTCTGAATGTCGTAAAACAGCGTGTAGATTAAAAATATGCTCGAGGAAAGTGCTAGGATGTTTAACTAGCATCAGGTTGATTCTTTCGATCTTTAAAGGGTACACTATACAATTGCAAAACCATCCAGACGTCGACACCGTAGCATCAGTAGGTTGAGGAGTACGTAAGCTCTGCATGAAAAAGAGATCATAACTTACTTCGGATTAATGCTAAGCAGCTAGGAACAACATGATTGGAATCTACGTTCCAAGCTGATTCCATATATATATATGTGTCTCATTTCAGAAGGCGAATCTAAGTTAGTATCCTTCCCTTGTTAGTTACTTTTCTTTAGCTCCTAGTACGAGGGACTTTGATGTCGATGCAGTCGGGTGCTAAAAGTCTGCGATGGCGGTAGAAGTCTCTCTTCCACATCATCTTCACCTAACTGAAGCATAACTTAAGCCTTTATTTCTGAGTTTCTTGAGAAGCAAATAATACAAAAACACATTTACCCAACTCTTCTTTTCGACTATCATCCTGCTCATTCTACATCCTTACGTTTTTGAAGTTTGTTCAAATTCTTTCTTCTTGAGTTAGGCCATACTAATGGTCTCTTTTAAGAACTTAGAAGCTTTTCAATGATAAGAAAAGAATTTTTTTAATCCTTGAACTGTGCCTGTGCCATGGAAGTCATTTCTCCAGTATTCTCTATTGCAACATCTCCTTCTTGACAGTAACTGCGCAGATTATTCTTTATAGCAATCATATGTGTAAAGTCTCAACTTAAACATGAAATTTTTTTTACAGAAGCAAAATTCCGCTTCCACAGTCGGGACAAACCAATGCCGTTCATGCAGGAGTATGTAAGTGTAGCCTACACCGTTGAAGGAGCAAAAGTATAATCAAGGTCAAGCGTAGGGTGTTAGGCGCCTGGGGTGACGCAAAGTCTAGAAATCTGGGAAATGTAATACGAACGAGGAGGGTAAAGAAGAAAAATAACAAATTTACAAATTGTCGTAGCAAATGGATTCGCTCGTGACAGATATCAAAATCAGGAAAATTTCAACAAATTCGCTTTGACCTTTTATCGTAATCTTATATATAAAGCTGAATGTCTGCTTGTCTGTATGTCTGTCTGTATGTCTGTCTGTCTGTCTGTCTGTGTGTGTGTGTACGTATGTTCCGAATAGAAAATTCCATTTCTGAACCGATCCGGACCAAACTTGGCACACATACACTTCGGGCCCCGGCGGGTGTCATAGGCTACTTTTCGTCATCGATCGATATCGATTTTATCGATTTTTATCGATTTTTTTGCTGAGTTTACCTACGGGGCTGGGAGTTGGCACAGGGGGGTAATCGAGCATGGGGATTCCGAATACAATATTGGTTTTCAGGATTATCGATTACTTTTATCGATTTTATCGATTTTTTTGCAAAGTTTGAGCTACGGGGCTGGGAGTTCGCACAGGGGGGTGATCGAGCATGCTGATCACTCCCAAGGGGGGTGATCAGCATGCTCGATTACCCCTGTGCCAAATTCCAGCCTCCTAGCTCAAATTTTCAAAAAATCGATAAAGTCGATAAAAGTAATGGACGATCTTGAAAACTAATATTGTATTCGTAATCTGCATGCTCGATTATTCCCCTGTGTAAACTCCCAGCCCCGCAGGTCAAACTTTACAAAAAAATCGATAAATTCGATAAAAGTAATGGACGATCCTGAAAACTAATATTGTGTTCGTAATCAGCATGCTCGATTACCCCCCTGTGCAAAATCCCAGCCTCGCATGTCAAAATTTACAAAAAATCGATAAAATCAATAAAAGTAAACGATAATTCTGAAAACTAATATTGTATTCGGAATCCCCATGCTCACTTCCCCCTGTGCCAACTCCTAGCCCTGTAGGTGAACTCTGCAAAAAATCGATAAAAATCGGTAAAATCGACATCGATCGATAACGAAAAGTGGACTGTGACACCCGCCGGAGCCCGAAGTGTATGTGTGCCAAGTTTGGTCCGGATACGGCGGAGCCGGGTAAGCCAGCTAGTCTACTATAACCTAAGGAGTCACGAGCATGCGTGCTAACTGTGACACCTATAAACAGCATATCTTATCAGCTCTGCATAGCCTGTGAATTATTAACAGTTATACACTACAATTTCTTCTAATGCTGTTTAGAAAGTGCCATTCTTATACTTGGCTACTTTTCCACATAAAAGTGGTCAACATTTTCTACTCTTGACAATGTGATTATTTTAGCCTTTGCCAATAAATTTACTCCATATGCTTTCAAATAGCGGTCAAAAGTACTGCCAAAAATTCTACGTCGCGCTTATCACCTTTGCTGCTTTTATGAACTAAATCTATACAGAGAAGCAGCTCTAAGCATTAGCATAGATTCTAAAAGCTTTAGACTAGTGAATGGTGTAACAAATCTAAAAGAAAGCTGTTTCTGAGACAGTTAATGGATACAGGCACAAACATTCGAGATTCCAGGCTGCCGAAGCTTGTGGTCTCTTGTGATCTCTACCACAAATATGCATCCAAAATCTATGTTTATTGGCATCTGAATTCCGGGTGGACGTGAGCATGAGAATTCTCTTCTCACGTGCCTGTTCACAGTCATGTGGACGCAATGGAAGAAACTGTAGCGTGGGCGAAATTCGATCAAGGACAGACATCTACAGATTATGTTTTAAAGTATTGAACTCTTTGGAAGAACCATCCGAAGGAGCAAAAGAACATACAGGGAGTCCCAAAAAATGTATCCACTGTTTGATTGTTGATAACTCTCTTATTATGAAATCTTTCGAGAAGCGGTGAGCGCCATTTTGTAGAGCTGGCTTCAACTTAGATTTACAGTATAGAGCGAATCATCGACCGCTGTTCATTACTGTAGGATTAGGGTAGAAACTTGGAACATATGGTTCATCGTGGAAAAAGCTGCCGTTTCAAAAAATTTTCAAAAAGATGTGTAAACTTGTGTAATAGGGTTTTTAGGGACGCTGAGTTCAATACTCAACTATTTTCAAGATTGCGAAGCTTTCTAAACGGTGTAAACGCACTTCTTGGGAACATTGAGAAAATGGCCGTTACTGCTTACCTCGCATAACTCTTCAGTGAAGCATCATAATAAGTTGGGAACTTTACAGTTAGTATCAGCAACTCTGATTGGCCTAGTGTAAAAGTTTTCAGGCTGTTTTGCTTCCTTTCTGAGGCAAAATATGCCTTTCATTCGCTCTATACTGTAGATTTAAGTTGAAGCCAGCTCTACAAAATGGCGCTCACCACTTCCCGAAAGAGCTCATAATAACAAATAAATAAACAAACAAACAAATAAGAGAGTTATTAACAATCAAACAATGGATACATTTTTTGGGACACCCTGTATATCGACTAATTGCTCAGAAGAACATATCTTGACCAATCAACTGTTTCTTTAATTACGAAGCCTTGTATTGCACAACTATAGATGTACATTGTGCGAGGTTGAAGTTAAGACAAACGAAGCCCATAGAGCTACTGGGGCTATTGAACGTATCCCAATAGCGGATAGCAGTTGACTGGTGGGAAGAATTCAAAATGCTTATTGCAGCCTAACACTTTTCTGCATTTTCATACTCGTAGGTAAAAAACTTGCTTTTTTTTACAACAATACCGATCTACTACCAAATTTCCGCTGTACCTCTACGTATCTTACGTACAAAGCTTGATTACCGCTTTTTACTAGGTTACTGCTTTTACGGTAGAAGAGATTACTAGCTATTAGAAAAGAATAAGACTTTTAGGTTTTTTGGCAACATTACACAAGTTGCCGAATAAGTAGGGATTTACAAAGTTAAGCAAACACTTCGAATTAAAAATGTCGAGGTTGAAAGCAATCAGTCATCATTGTGAGAAGTTGCGACACACTGATTTCACGTGACCGATTAAGGTGCCAATAAAACAGATTTGACACATTCATTTTCTTTCGCTATGCGATCATCACGTCTTACAGCGATGGATACTCTTGTAATTTTGGGAACAATCTCTAAATACCTTGAAAAGCTTATCTTCAAGTATTCAAAGGCTTTATTTCAGCCAAACGAAAGAAGTCATTGATTTTAACGCCTTGGAGATCAATCTACTTAACCAGCTTTTGTGCGTTTTTGCAAGCTCTCCAATTCACAATTTTGCGCAGCTCTATGTGGCCGTACTTGCGCAAGGTAAGAACTGATCCAGAAAAAATGGAAAGAGTGTGACGAAATCTTGCCCTACGCAAGGGTTCTCTCATCATGCCGCAGCTCGCCGCGTCCTGCGGCGTGCGCCTCTCCAGTCGCAGTGAAAATATAGTTTACGGCAACACAGCTGCGTCTGTTGTGGATGTATCTCTATATTTGCTGCACGTTCGTGTTTTCAGAGAGTGTTGCTTCACAGCGAAGGAGCTAACCCTAACGTCTGCGGCAGTCTGCTGCGTAATGCCGCGTGCGCCGTAGCACGTTAGGGTTCCTTCATGCTACGCCGCGTCCTGCGGCGTAGTATGAAGAAACCCTAACTCCTGCCTTTGCATTATCGCCTCATTTTGTTGATCGTGAAGAAGGGAAATTGTTATAGCAAACATAAACTTATTATTTAAAGTCCCCTCACTGAGGTTTCAACAATCTATGATTATAATAGAAGTGCACAGTCAGAGGCCAAACATTCGATTCCAGCTCAATCCCGATGTCACAGAGCAAAAGTACGGTTTTGTGAATGCGCTGTACAATCTTGGCACAGTGGTCTCAGCCATAGTGTTTGGTTACTGGAGCAACAGAATAAAGCAAGTAAGCCTTATATGCAGGCTGATTTTTATCTTATCTCAAATAAAGTTAGTGAGGAGATAATAAGGTCATTTCAAGGTGCGACTACCATTATTTGTCTGTTTCTGGTTGATTATCATTGGCAATGTTGTCTACGCCTTACTGCAATACTTTGAAGCAGAACTTGTCGCCTATGTTCTCATGGTTTCGCGATTACTAACAGGATGCGGAGTAGGTGAGTTACTCGTTTGATCACTTCGCAATAAGTTGCTTAACTAAGGAAGGATCACAAATAGCCTCGGCCATCTGGAGTGAAATGTATACTATTGGTGTGTTTGTTGAGCTGATTTCGGAACCAAAATCTGCTGAGCCTTCTGCAGGAGAAGCTTCAAATTTCCAAATACGGGAACATGAAATGCCTCTATTTGACAATTAGTGGTTAGACTCTTGATTATATCCCCTGTGAATGTGAGTTGTTGTAGAAAGTACACTCACCATGCCAGATGCGCTGCCCTAACAAGGGAAGGATACCAACATTAGTTGGCAATTGAAGATGAGATGTACACTAGTAGACGCGCCTTTGAACGCTGATTCCATATCTGCTTTCCTTTTTTGCGGAATAAGTTTCCGAAAGAAGTTGTGGGCGTTTGAATGTCCAAATTTGTCAAGGTTTAGATGGCCTAAAATTGGCGAAAAGCTGTATAAAAGCACCGGAAAGCGGAAAAATATTTTTGTATCGAGTATATTGTTTGCAAGGAAGGCACAAAGCCGGTGGAAATCGCGTAAGGGTTGTTTCAGAACTTTTCGCTGATTTTAAGCCACTCAATGCTTGGCAAATCTGGACATTCAAACGCTCATAACTTCTTTCTCAGACTTATTCCGCAAAAAAGGAAAGCAGATTTGGAATCAGCGTTCAAAGGCGCGTCGACTAGTATACATCTCATCTTCAATTGCCAACTAATGCTGGTATCCTTCCCTTGTAAGATGAACTGCGAAACACTATGGGCACTACGCATTATAACCTCAATGACTTTACAACTTTAACTGCTTGTTACTCTTTTAGGAGAATCGCGCAGCAGATATGGAAGGTAGAATTGTATTAGGTTGTAAAGAAAGTTTTGCCAATTCTTTTCGTCGATACCGCGGATGCAAGGGGCTGATTTGAAATGTGTTCTTAGCGTGCGATGGCTTTAGCTACCTAACACGTTATTCAGCTCGAAAAAATGACGATAAACTAGGAAGAAATGCCCAAAAAAGGAGAAAAATCCGTTGCGCTCAGGTCTGCGAAAAGGCACAATTTTAGATTATGTACGCGCAAAACTTCCAAAAGCTTGATTTGGAAATCCGTCTTATATCCTGTGTATTGTCTAACGAGGGAAGTACTTTCAGTGGCCGTGGCTGTTTGATATGAGATGCATATCATCTGAAGCAGCTTCGAACGCTGATTTCAAATCTGCTTTCCGTTTCTGTCCTTTTTTTTCTCTTCTCAAAAAAGTTATGGAAGTTTGAACATCCTATTTTGGGGGCGCCCTTGAGTTTGAGGGCGCTGCTATGTGCATTGGTGTTGCAGTAGTGTAATGATTACTTGCTGGCAATGGATGCGAGAGGTTGATGGTTTGAATCTGGGAAGAGCGAGCCATTTTGAATGTGAGTTTAAGCACTCTAAATCGTCTGCAGACACTTACTGTAATGCCTCAGCACAAACATGAGAGAACATCTTTTCGACTAATGACAGTGTGCACTTTTTGAGCTTTATGTAGTGACAAACGTGCTAGGCCATGTTTGGTCCTGTTTTACTAATAAGGAAGTCAAATAGAATTTCAGACTCTCATTACAAGCAGTTTTGCCAGAAAACTTTTTTTTCTAGGTCACTTGTGCCAAAGGCATTACAGTAAATGTCTGCAGGTAATTTAGAGTGCTTTCAAACTCACATTCAATAAGCAAAATAGTTCGCTCTCCACCGGATTCGAACCATTAACCTCTACCTTCAATGTCAGCAATTAACCACTACATTACTGCACCATCAATGCACATAGCAGCGCCCTCAAACTCAAGGAGCGCCCCTAAAATAGAATGTTCAGGCTTCCGCAACTCTCTTCAGAAGAGCGTTCCGCAGAATCGGAAAGCAGATTTAAAATCAGCGTTGGAAGCTGCTTCAGAAGATATGCATCTCATATCAAAAGGCCACGGCCATTGTCCCTTGTAAGTGAGGCAATATCCGAATATCCTTGCTCCGGTATTTGGGTCTTTTTGCAAACGAGAAATAACTCATGAATTCAGCGTTCCGAAAGTCGAAGTCTCATGTTTTGAAGCGCAGCCAGCGCGCTTTTCGAAAAAGAGCATCTAAGACATACCTAGTCAGTAGGCTAAGGTTGTTAGTATAAACGACCAAAATATCGCTAATTGACAAGCACTCAAGATGAAGATATAAATAAAAAAATTTAGCTCAGCGTCTATTGGCAGAACTTTCTTTACAACCTAATAATTACCCTAATTTCACGCGTACAAGGCGCGAGGTGGTCCTAGCTTTCATCGACCAGCCCGAACACGGCAAAGGACTTCGCAACCAAAGGAACCCCATACCGTGCTGCGCTTTGCCTGACGAATCGTGCGGCATAAGGATCGCTTCTTAAAACACGCTGGGGCGGCTGAGCAGCTCGATGAAAGCTAGGACCACCCCGCGCATTGTACGCGTGAAATTAGGGTAGCTCGAGGAGACACATCCAATGATGAGCATTTCATTTTAGTTCGCCATCACGGCTTGGAATCCTCCCCCTCCTCTGTCGAGAGAACCAAATATTATCCCAAACGTAACCAAGTTTCCTGGTCAAAAGCTGGCTTCACCTTTAAGCTTCAGTTTATAAAGCTGCGCACAGTCTCAGAAAAAATAGTGCGACATAGGATAGTCCAAAATGCAGTGATGCGGTTGAGCGGCTTGGCCTTATACGCGTAAATTACGGTACTTTGTTGCAGTGATCATTTGCAATCTAAGCAAGTAATAGAGTAATACTTATTGAGTGCCATTGCGCAGCTATTTCAGCTAATGCGGCTCTTCTGCGAGCATACGCGCTGTCAGCATCAACAATCGAAGACCGTTCAAAAGCATTTGCGTGCATTGGGATCGGCATCGCGGCGGGCGGATTGACCGGATCTGGTAATGCATAATTTAAATCAACTTTGTTCGTAGATCTGAGTAAGCACAAAAGCCCTGTGTTCAGGCTTACAATTGGCTTTCACTGTTTTGGGATCAGATGGAGTCACAATCGCCGGTATATACCAATTAGACCTATACAATGCGCCTGCAATAATGGCGTTGCTTCTGAACTTATGTGGTTTCCTTATAATTCTCTTTTGTTTCGAGGAGAGCTACGAAGTGCTGGAAAGAGATTCGAAAAAGGCAAGTAATAATTACTTCAGATTAGACTCTGTTCGTACTGCAAACTTTCAGATGTGCCATAACCTACCTCAGCCCTGCTACACCGCTTTAATTATTTGCGCTTCTACCCGTTTTGAGCAGGAGTTTGCCCAGTCTGCAGTGGAAACGTCAGTATTATAAACATTCTTGCATTAATCGATGCCAACCACTGTTGTCGGTAGCCTCCTTCTTTTCTTCCGTTCTACACACTTGCCATAAGATAGATAAGGGGTACAAGAATGGTCATTGCTTTTGGAAAAATTCTTCTTTACAAATTTTTGTGAGCGTCTGAGCCTGCAGAGGTAGTGCATCTATCTGGAGTCTTGCTCCTCGGAGCCGGGAAATTAGTTCGTGTATTGGCAAGTTAGAGAAGTTTTATGTCTTTAACTACTGTTTCGAAAATTTCAATGGTTCAAAATGTTCCTATACTGTTGTACACAGATTTGGTGTCGTTAATTGCCCGCGCATTGCACACATCTTAGTCGATATTGCTAAATGAAATTCACGAAGTTTTGTTATGTGCAAATCGCCACCGCTTACGATTACCAGTCAATTGAGCTTCGTCTGAGAGCTCAAAGAAGCTGCAGTCCTTATAGAAAAGAGGCAGCCAAAAGGCACTTTTTGTTAACCCTCCGAAGATCCCATATTACTAAAAAGCTGATATTGAGCCCCTTATGCATGTGCATACCCGCTGTGTAGCTGAGAGGGACGCATATGTCTCGCTGCTCCAAATATCAGTATTTTTCTTTGTCTATCCACCTTTTAAAGGGTTTCATATCACGATAATTTAGCATAGTGGATGTTGATGGCAGTGTCTCAATTGGGGAAATGCCGGTCTCTACATATATTGGCAGAGGATCCCTTGAACATCGCCCCAAGTTCGACTCGACCCAGGCCCTTTTATGCCGAGAAATTTGCCCTCAAACTGCCCGCAAAGCGCGATTTCGCCTTCACGGCCAACGCTCCCGGTTTCCCCCTTACGTGTTTCCACATGTCTCTCTATTTGGCGTCCACCTCGCTGCCACTGTGACGAAGGCTAGGCGGAGGAGGCACATTCGTCCGCGCTGCTTTCACGGGACTCTTAAAAAACGGGGTTTTCGTGCATTTTATGTGATTTTGGACCCGCATTGAGTACAAGGACGAAAAGGCACACTATCCAAAATCCCGTCAACCAAATTTTGATGAGACACTGCCTCCAAGACATTATTATACAAGCCGTTTTTACTTTTTTGTGCGATCCCCTGGGAAATCCCGGTAGAATTACTTTTTTAAGACGTTTGTATTACCGTAAACTCGACGAAAATTCGTAACATTGTATTGTAATCAAATGGTACTAAACATGTTTATAGTAGAAATAAGCAAAATCTCAGTTTATCGGAATTTTCAATATTGTTTTCAAAGTTCAATGTTCAATGTCAATGAAGCATTGTTTGCGAACTGGGTTTTATCCACAGATTTTCTTCACACTCAATTTCTTTTCTCGAAAGCATGGCTAGCAGTGCCATAATAGTTCTCCAGTACAACTTTTACTTTTCATCGAATCTATGTGAATATAAACGACTTCAAAGACAAGGGCCGACTCCCAAGGTTCCCCTAAAGGATCACACAAAAATGAAAATGTCAGCTTACCTACCAACGTCTTGGCATTCATTATGCTCAGATATTAAAGCATAAGAACCTCTTAGGATTGATTAAGAGGAATACAGATGTCTAGAGCAGCGAATTATAAGGCTCCCCTTCTCAGCTCCCCTCCTACCCCAGCAGGGAAGTAAGTTCGTACGGGGCTTGAGTATCATGAGGAGGTGCATATCACATAATCACAATTATTTGTCTATGTACACTTCTCTTAATTTGAATATCTGTGAACGACAAATTATAGGAAGTTGGGTACAAAGGACAGAGATTGAAGCAAATACCGAGAAAATGAAGAACACATGCAAAACAAAAGATCTTTAAATTTTTTATAATCTCATCTGCCGTAAATTGTGCGTACACGGCTTCGCAGTGCACGGGCATGATTGTTGGGTCTCTCACAGCCATGTGGAAGTAAATACCCTCGGAAACATTGCTCAAGTACAAGCCCACATGTTGGGCTGCCTTGAATAGCGCCGGCAGCCGCCGTTTACCGTCAACACCTAAAAGCCGCTTTTACGAAAACGCAACGTCCGCCTACGCCTGCTCATCCTCCATGCTCTTTTACTCTCTCTCTCTCTCTCATGTGCGATCTGAGTCTCATAAATTACTTTTGTATTCACTGTCGTCACTATCTGACTCTTATGGAAACCTAGATATGTTAGGACCTTGTTGTAAGTTACACGAGAAATATGCTAATGCATAAAGCGTAAATGTCTACCAATAAATATAAATTACAATAAATGCAGATTAGCTAGAGAATATCCACGAAAAAAAACCATTGCAAAAACGTATGTTAAAGCTAGAGAACTTTGAAACACGCCTGAAAGGATTGAGTGCACTGAGATTTGTAGGAGTAAGCTGAGCATTCAATATAATTTCAAATAAGACAGATTACAAGAGAAAACTTGGACTGCGAACATATCCAAGCTTCCACAGCAACCAGACGACAAGTAAATACAAAAAAGGTAAGAGAGCCAGAATTCATATGAGGTAACTTAAAGAGAGCATAACGGATGAGCATGAGTATACGAATGTATGTTAGTGAAAACGCAGTGATTTGCAAGAGGAAAAAACGAATAGCGGCAGCTATCGGAGGTTGACGGCTGCTGCGCTCGCGCACCCTTGAAAGAAGAAAGAGAAGTACGCACGGGTACGGATGAGAAGTTGAAAAATACGCCATAATGGAAGAGACCATCTTGCAGTTTTCTCCTGGCAGTCGACGTCAGATTATTAATTTTTAGCAAACTTGGACTCAAGAGGCAGGAGATGGCGCAAGAGGTTTGGTGAGCACGCTTTACGGAGTTGGCATAACGGGGGGTAGGTGGCTTCAGAATATTAAGCGAAAGCACGGTGAGGCATAGATTTTGCGCATAGGAGTGCCGAGGGACGCGGATTTGTTGTTGAGGAAGTGATTTGAGAATTGAGCTTTAACAAGGCGTTTATTTCCGATAGTAAACATAAAACGCAGGATAAAATCGCGTTGTTGAATTTTTTTGTGATCATATTATTTACTGTAAACATATATCGCAGGATAAAATCGCATTCTTGATTTTTTTATGTGATCATATTATTCACTATCACTTTAGAATACTCAGTATATCTAACTTATTTTCTTAATTGAAGTGTTCGATGCATGTACCGATCTTGGTGTCGGCAAATCATACCGCCGGTTGACAAAATCCAACACTTAGAGCTCAAAGTTTTGTAGTATAGCTACTAAGTAGGTATGGATCACGGATTATCTTCCAAATGGTCACTCTATTGAAAGTAAGTGCCGTTGCCTTCCATGCATTAAAGAGGTATGATATCCCCATGCACCAGACTCTAATTCAGATTTTTCCTGCAGTCATGCGCTATGCATCTGTTCGAAATATCGTCCTCCTCTTCGTCTGTATACCTGCGAATATGTCTGATTAATCAACTTTAGGTTGGAACCTCCATTCACCATGCTTATGTTTCTCTTTGAAAAGGAAGAAGCTGTAAAAGCTAACTCTATAGCTCAACTGGCTTCAGGATGTTGTGGCATTCTTCTGTACTTCCTCTTCTTCTTTGCCGAGTTCACTAAACGGTGAATGTCCAACTCAGCCTTGTTTCCACGCCAATTTAAAAATTCGATTTACTTTAGCGCTCCACTGAGGGTCATAACTATATTGGGTATTAACCTATATGCTGCTTCATTCTTGGTTACATACCCCTGGCCTTTTCTTCCTGACAAGTGCCAATCGGCTGCAAATGGCAAGATCAAGCGTAATTGACATTTTTTTCTGAAGAGAAAGCTTTACAGGTTCGGATGCCGGCTGCTATGCCGACAAGTATGCGTGGTGCACAGATCTTTCAGCAATCTCGCCTTGGGTTAGTAGTTTGCTTCGAATCTTCGACAATCCACGTAAAAAAAGGGTATCTATCATAATCACTACTTTGCTTGCCTTTCTTATATTAGGTCTCATCCATGAATGAGCACGCATCCATACGACTAACAATAAGCTAGTCAGATGCTCATTGAAAATAAGCTTTAAGCTTTAGAAATGGCCACCTAAAATCAATCAGACTTTTATAATGAAAAAAAATCAATTATGATGCCTGATGCGCTATCGAATAACTTATATGGAGCTTGTTTCATACAAAATAAACTTTGAAAACCACTATAAAAATCGGCCGTGACACACTTTTGTGCCTGCTCATGTAAGACTGTAAGTGAAATGTTATCAATACTTGCTAATGCACCATTTCTCACAGGTGTACTATCCCATATTCGTGTTGGTCTTTGGATTAGCACATCCGCTGACGAATGTATGTGTGACTACAATATACTCTCAGGTTATGGGACCACGTCGCCAGGTAGCCATTACCATGGACAAGAGAAATAAAGATTTTTTTTATTTTAATCTTCGGACTTGTGATGACCTAATCGATCTTCTTTTTCATTATAGGGCACTTCGCAGGGGCTCTTTACAACGGCTGGATCATTAGGCAAATTAGTTGCACCTCTGATTGTGACGTAAGTCAAGAAGCACTCAAACGACAGATAGCATTGAAAAAGCAAATAGCTTGCTGCTAGATCGTCGCATTTTGATGTCATTCATTCATCGCGACGCGGTATGCTATATTTGTCCTTCCCTCCCCCCCCCCCCCCCAAGACACCTTATGGACGCATCCGATTTGACCTAGAGCAGCCGGTTGCGCAGAACACGGCATCTTCAGCCCTTAGTTCAACCACACAAAGATTTTATTCGCTGTTATCCCAACGTTATATGCTGTGAATGCTAACAATCTTCTTCATTAGAACTGAAGATTTTGTTGCCTTCAAGCGATTGTGCTGCATGCTCGTTCCTTCAACTGTGTTTTCAGCTTACGCTTGGAAAAACGACTAAGACTGAAAACTTGCTAGTGAGGTCCCTTCTCGGTAAAGGTCTTGGTGGGTTACTTCAACGAACTTCATGTCAGACTCCCCATATGCATCATTTTCCAAGCTTACCTGAACACAGAGCCAAGGAAAGAGCGTGGTAGTATGAAACATCGCTGAACAACAACAAACTCGTCGGTTCTGATTGAAAACGCCATTAAAACAAGAAAAACTACCATGTAACGACGAGAAAAAGCAAAAGAATACTGCGTGAACTCGAAAAAATGGACTTGACTGTGCGCGCTCTGCCGCAATCGGCGCCTCTAGTTCAAATTTGAATTCGTACACTGGGTGTCTAGTGGGGCGGGGGTAGGACTATACTGATGAACTTCCATTTTGATGCTTTAACGCCAACCCCACCCTTTTTTCCATAGTAGTATGCATTCTCTTGTTCTCAAAATTTTTTCAGACAGAAAAACAATAGAATCCTACTGCAGTAAATTGTCTGCTCTATGTTTTGGTGAAAGACGAGAAAGCAATTGCGTTCAACAAATCTCGACGAAAAATTTCCTATCTTGCAGGAAATTTCGCAACTTATGTTCTACTTGTACTTTTTCCAACTCTTCAAAGAAAACGATGTCTAAGATGTCAGACTGTCAATTCTTTTTTTATCTCGCATGGATCCCGCCCATGCAGGGTTTGCTTTTCTCGTCACTTGTCTCCATGTTTTCCTATTTGAAGCAAGGTTTTCATCTATTTCAAGCTCTCGCAGGTCGGCTTTGATCCTGCCCATTCATCTCATCTTGGATCTACCTCTGGGTCTTTTGCTTGGTGCTTCCACCGTCAAGGCTAGCTTCGTAATGTGGCTATCCTCCCTTCTGCGCACATGGCCACACCATCGCAGTCTCTTATCCTCATTTTCTGGGCGATTGGAGCCACTTTTATTTGCGCTCGTATAGTGTCATTGCAGATGTAGTCTTTCAGTGTGACACCCAAGGTCATCGTAGAATCCTTGTTTCCATGACACTGAGCTTGCGCTCCTCGTTCCTCGTACAAGGACAGCACTCACTGCCACACGATGCTGCTGGACGAATAAAGGTCCGGTACAGTTGAGATGCACTGGCATTCTTTTGTCGCACAGAACTCCTGTCAGCGCTCTCCATTTCATCCATGCTGTGTTCATCCTGCTTTGAACCTCCTTTTGTAAGCCTCCCGCTGCTGAGATGTTATTGCCTAGGTACAGTTGCAGCGGTGGAATTTGTCCAAAACTGCGGGTTTGTCGGGATTCGCGGGACTGTCGGGATTCGCGGGATTCGCGGGATTCGCGGGATTCGCGACTTCGCGGGATTTGCGGGATAAGCGGGATTTAGCTATAACTTCTTTTAAAACAGCTTTATTTGTAATCTAAGCAAAGATTTGGCTTCAGCTTGACGAGACGAATCTTCTGGTATACAATATGTCCGTAGTTCTCAGTGACACGGTAGACATATGGTGATACCTTGTTATTTTCTATGTTAAGGCTTTTGTGAACATCTAACACAGTGTAAATCGCGAATAGGAGGTTCTGATACGAAGTTCTCATTATCGAAAACTATCGCGAAAAATTGGGCAGTTTTTATTTACCCTTATCACTGATATAAGCATTTTATCATTTATCACTGATAATGTCACATTTTTGGATCATTTTTGGCATATGGTAAGAAAAGTGTTGTAGGAAACGCTGTGCAAATTTCTATCGCTCTTTCTCTCATTATAAGTGATCTACAGGATTTCCTAGTTCTATTGTTCGGTCAATTGGTAGATCCCTCGCTGCAGCAATCGATCGATTTCTCATCGGCACATGCCATTGCTGCCAATTCTTACCCAAAATGGCATTTTGCTTCAACTCGCTTCACGCCGAAGCTTGGGCTGAATTTTTGCACCTATATGGAAGATGAACGTGGGAATCGACCGCATGAATTTAAGCCATTCTTATCTGTCGCTGTCATTGATATCATCATTTTATCATTTATCACTGATGATAAAAATTGGATTATTTTTGACATACTATAAGAAAGGTACTTTAGAAAACGCTGAGTTTTTATCGCTCTATCTCTTATAGAATGTGATCTACAGGCTTTTTCGGTTCAACTGCGCATTCGTGCAGTAGATAGATCCCCCACTGCAACAATCGATTGATTGCTCATCATGCGCATGACGCCGTCTCCTTGGAGATATTGCTTTTTCAGAAAAATTCACCGCTCTATAAATTGTGAATGAATCGTCTGTCAACAGGTTCTGTTTCCTACGTATGATATACAAATCCAGATCCACGAAGGCGATCGGTCTAAGGTACGAAACGGCGCAAACGGCGTGCTCGAGCATCTTTCTATCAAAGTCCACACCGCGACGATGCGCGTACATAGGCTGTTGCCTCCGTATCGAAGTCTTTTTGAATTCTCCTATGCTCTACTCTATTTCTTGCACAATAGCTCACAAAATGCGGATTTTCTTTGTATGTCGTGAAATTCCGGGGGTTTTGCGAAAGTCCGTAACGTTCTGGAAGTTTTGCTACATTCCGGGATTTCTGAATCACGCGAATCACGCAAACAATAGAACGCCATAACTCCATTTAGAATGAATAAATTCTGCATCCAATTCCGTTTCCAGTTTTCTCAAATTCTTCTGCGGAGGTCTGTTTGCAAGGATATAACACAGTGCCTATCTGATATAAAAGATACTAGTAAGTAATATTCGATAGTACGGTTCTTGTAAATCATAGCGCACTAAAGTATAGCTGCGCATTTATTTCCAGAAGAAACATAAGCGTTGGTGACTGGAAAAATCACGCGTTCTCAAATTCTATTTGTCATATTTTTCCTTCAAAATGAATGTCTTGTGAATCCGAAAGAAGCATCATGCTCAGCTCGTCAAGGCGAACCTTTCGATATACAGCATGCCCTTGATATTCCGATTTCAGTATTCGTGAATCTTTCTGCGGACGTCACTTTGCAAAGATTAAAGTAGCGCGCATTGCCCCTAGTAGACTACAGTAAAAGCAATTCGGTAGTACCTCCCTTGCAGATTAATGATCGCTAAAGAGTCTCCGCAAACTTCTTCCGAAGGGAGGTAGAAGGACTAGTGAATTGGGAAAAAATCTTGTCGCAGGAATTTCTGCTCGCCATAGCCCTAGAATACAAAGCTATCTTGCTAAGCAGATGTGAATTTCGAAATCAGCAGGTCAGATAACCTACATGAGCAAGTTTTCCGGGATGTTCGGGTTATTTCATTTTTTCTCGTTTTACGCTCTGGAAGCTAGCCGATGGATAGTGGTCAAAATGTTGATGCTTTTGAATTGTAAGGAAACTTCGCTTATAGAGGTTTTCGAACACGCTGTTTACGAAAATAGTGGTCTTTGAAGAAGACAGGGTCTTTTTGTAGAGATATTGTGAGGTGACTGTAACTGAGTCATGAAAGTTCGTAAATTCGCCCGCGCTTTTCGCGAATTTGTCAGAAGACTTGCCTGCTTGCTTCTCTAAGTCAAGATCACTAGGAACTATCAAATGCTATCAAATGGTGCACGCTCAGGTCTCATTCTATAAAGTTCGCCGAGTTACGAGCCTACGAAAACACGTCCTCATGAATTCTGCTCAAAGTGTAAAAATCGCGTATTTTCTCGAAATTCCACCCTGAGTGGTTATATGACATACTGATCAAATCTATTCACATTGGTTAATGGTCTTACTGTGCTGGATTTGGAAATTAGGTAGGTCTGAGCTCAAGTACGAAGCTGCTTGGATGTTCAATCGAGCAGCTGAAGAACGCGGGACCACCATATTCAATTCAGTGGGATCCTTTAGGCGAAGTGAACATAATATTTGCAACCAGAATGTCATACAACCACTCAGGGTGGAATTTCGAGGAAATACGCGATTTTTACACTTTGAGCAAAATTCATGAGGACGTGTCTTCGTAGGCTCGTAACTCGGCGAGCTTTATAGAATGGGACCTAAGCGTGCACCATTTGATAGCACAGTTCCTAGTGATCTTGACTTAGAGAAGCAAGCAGGCAAGTCTTCTGACAAATTCGCGAAAAGCGCAGGCGAATTTACGAACTTTCATGACTCAGTTACAGTCACCTCACAATATCTCTACAAAAAGACCCTGTCTTCTTCAAAGACCACTATTTTCGTAAACAACGTGTTCGAAAACCTCTATAAGCGAAGTTTCCTTACAATTCAAAAGCATCAACATTTTGACCAATATCCATCGGCTAGCTTCCAGAGCGTAAAACGAGAAAAAAAGAAATAACCCGAACATCCCGGAAAACTTGCTCATGTAGGTTATCTGACCTGCTGATTTCGAAATTCACATCTACTTAGCAAGATAGCTTTGTATTCTAGGGCTATGGCGAGCAGAAATTCCTGCGACAAGATTTTTTCCCAACTCACCAGTCCTTCTACCTCCCTTCGGAAGAAGTTTGCGGAGACTCTTTAGCGATCATTAATCTGCAAGGGAGGTACTACCGAATTGCTCTTACTGTAATCTACTAGGGGCAATGCGCGCTACTTTAATCTTTGCAAAGTGACGTCCGCAGAAAGATTCACGAATATTGAAATCGGAATATCAAGGGCATGCTGTATATCGAAAGGTTCGCCTTGACGAGCTGAGCATGATGCTTCTTTCGGATTCACAAGACATTCATTTTGAAGGAAAAATATGACAAATAGAATTTGAGAACGCGTGATTTTTCCAGTCACCAACGCTTATGTTTCTTCTGGAAATAAATGCGCAGCTATACTTTAGTGCGCTATGATTTACAAGAACCGTACTATCGAATATTACTTACTAGTATCTTTTATATCAGATAGGCACTGTGTTATATCCTTGCAAACAGACCTCCGCAGAAGAATTTGAGAAAACTGGAAACGGAATTGGATGCAGAATTTATTCATTCTAAATGGAGTTATGGCGTTCTATTGTTTGCGTGATTCGCGTGATTCAGAAATCCCGGAATGTAGCAAAACTTCCAGAACGTTACGGACTTTCGCAAAACCCCCGGAATTTCACGACATACAAAGAAAATCCGCATTTTGTGAGCTATTGTGCAAGAAATAGAGTATAGCATAGGAGAATTCAAAAAGACTTCGATACGGAGGCAACAGCCTATGTACGCGCATCGTCGCGTGTGGACTTTGATAGAAAGATGCTCGAGCACGCCTTTTGCGCCGTTTGGTACCTTAGACCGATCGCCTTCGTGGATCTGGATTTGTATATCATACGTAGGAAACAGAACCTGTTGACAGACGATTCATTCACAATTTATAGAGCGGTGAATTTTTCTGAAAAAGCAATATCTCCAAGGAGACGGCGTCATGCGCATGATGAGCAATCAATCGATTGTTGCAGTGGGGGATCTATCTACTGCACGAATGCGCACTTGAACCGAAAAAGCCTGTAGATCACATTCTATAAGAGATAGAGCGATAAAAACTCAGCGTTTTCTAAAGTACCTTTCTTATAGTATGTCAAAAATAATCCAATTTTTATCATCAGTGATAAATGATAAAATGATGATATCAATGACAACGACAGATAAGAATGGCTTAAATTCATGCGGTCGATTCCCACTTTCATCTTCCATATAGGTGCAAAAATTCAGCCCAAGCTTCGACGTGAAGCGAGTTGAAGCAAAAATGCCATTTTGGGTAAGAATTGGCAGCAATGGCATGTGCCGATGAGAAATCGATCGATTGCTGCAGCGAGGGATCTACCAATTGACCGAACAATAGAACTAGGAAATCCTGTAGATCACTTATAATGAGAGAAAGAGCGATAGAAATTTGCACAGCGTTTTCTACAACACTTTTCTTACCATATGCCAAAAATGATCCAAAAATGTGACATTATCAGTGATAAATGATAAAATGCTTATATCGGTGATAAGGGTAAATAAAAACTGCCCAATTTTTCGCGATAGTTTTCGATAATGAGAACTTCGTATCAGAACCTCCTATTCGCGATTTACACTGTGTTAGATGTTCACAAAAGCCTTAACATAGAAAATAACAAGGTATCACCATATGTCTACCGTGTCACTGAGAACTACGGACATATTGTATACCAGAAGATTCGTCTCATCAAGCTGAAGCCAGATCTTCACTTAGATTACAAATAAAGCTGTTTTAAAAGAAGTTATAGCTGAATCCCGCTTATCCCGCAAATCCCGCGAATCCCGCGAATCCCGACAATCCCGCAGTTTTGGACAAATTCCACCGCTGCAACTGTACTTGTATGACGTTGTCATCTTTAGCTTTTCGCCATCAATGCTCACGGTAACAGAAGTTTGTTTTCCACGTCCATATACTCCTCTTCTTAGTATTGAGCTTCAACCCATAGAACTCTAACCTGTCTTTCCACTTCTCTACCTCGTCTTGTAATTCCTTTCCGGTACTTGCTCGCAGGACCATATCATCTGCGTAGAGAAGTGTCCAAGGAGCTTCACGTCTGAGTGGTTCCATTACGGCGTTCATCACAGTGATGAAGAGCAAGGGAGAGAGAACTAACCCTTAGTGTACTCCAACTTTGATTTGGAACTCTTTCGATTGCCCTGCAGCTGTTTGTACGTGACCTGAAGCGTTTTGGTAAATTAACTTTATCCACTGGGCGTACTCTTCTGGAACCATGTGCTTCCGTAAGGCCCACCATATGACTTCGTGAGGCACCTTATCGAAGGCTTTTTCCAGGTCCAGGAAGGCTGCATGCAGCTCCCTCTGGTTCTCTATATATTTCTCCATCACTAGCCTAGCGGAGTGGATGGCATAAGTTGTACCTATTCCTTTCACGAATCTGCACTGATTCGGAGAAATTCTATGATATCTCGAAAACGCGTTTCGATTATTCTTTCGAAGATTTTTAGAGTGTGGCTTATCAGTCGGACTGGCCGTTAGGATGCGCAATCTGCGACGTCCCTTTGTTCTTCCATATCGAATCGTTGTGCTGGTATACCAATCACGAAGCGGACTCTTGCTCCTTATGATCTGATTAAGGAGACCTGATAGCCAGGAAGCCCCGGACTGTCCACACACTTTCCAGACGCTTGGTATGTCATCTGGGCCAGTCGCTTTGCCATTCTTAGTTTTCGATATAGCTAGTCATCCCTACTCTTCCGTAACTGGTGGTGATCCAATTACGGGGTTAGCTCTTGGGATGGAGTTAACGCTGCGGCCTGTGGTGGCCATCTCTCCGAAGTAGGTTCTCCATCTTTCAGTGATTTTTTCCGGTGTTCTTGGTGTCCTACCAAGTTCGTCTCTGATATGAAAGAATTGCTCCGTATCCTTAATGGACTCTGCCCTTCTTCTGGCTATTCGGTATATATCTCGTTGTCCCTCGCGAGACTCCAGTTTCTCGTAGAGCTGTTTCATGTAGACCTATTTTGCCTTCTCTACCGAGACTTTCGCAGCGGACATGGCTTGTTGGTATGTCTGACAATCGGCCTCCGATTTTGTCTGATGCCATCGCCTGTATGCGTCCCTCTTGTCCTTTACTACCATTTGTACTTCATCGTCCCACCACCACGTTTCTCGATTGGTTCTTTTTTCTCCTGACTTTGTACTACCAGGACCATAAGTGGTAGTTGATGGGTCCGCCCTTTCAAGTTTACCCAGGTTGCTCTAGGTTCTCTTGCAGGCTTGGGAGAGCTGTTAGCTTAATTTGCCGCCGTTCGGTTTGCAACTTTCACCATTTAATGTGTGACCTGGTCTCTGTATATCTTTATATGCCTGTCGATTGAGATTCTGAGCTCGAGAAGCAGTGGTCTGTGTTGAGGCATGCAATTCTCACCGGGGATGACTTTCTTTACGTTTTTAAGGTCACGCTGTCAGATAGCCCAGAAGTCTATCTGTGCTCGTCGGTCGCCACTCGCCACTCGCATATGTTATGAGTTGATCATCCTTTTTGATGTAGTATGTGTTCGCCAAGACCAGATCATGAGCTGAGGCGAATTCCAGAATGCGCTCACCTTCTTCATTGCATGTTCCGTATCTGTGGTCTCCGTGACAATTCCCGGCTTCTCCTCGCCTTTTTCCCACATGTCCGTTAAAGTCCGCTCCTAGCAGGAGTGTCTCATCCAGTGAGATTGAGTTGATGTGGTTATCGAGCTCCTGCCAGAACGCGTCTTTTCATCATCCTTATACCCGACCTGTGGTGCGTAGGCGGTGATGACTCGTAGGACTTGTTTCAGTATCTACTTTTACGCTCATCAGGCCATCGCTTACGCGTTCAACGCCAGCTATGCTACTCCTCAGAGTTTCCGAGACAGTTGTACCAATTCTATTTCTGTTGCTGCTGAAACCATTGTAGAGAAGCTTATATCCATCTCTGATATATCGCAATTTTGCCCCGATCTACTTCGTCTCCTGAATGCAGACTTCTCGCCGTCTTTTCAGAGGATCTCTCAATTCTCGAGAACGAGAGATAAGGGTATCCACATTGATGGTAGCTAGACGGAGAGTCTGCGATGTTTTGAATCGTTGCCTCTGTGAACTAGCCGCTTTGGCAGTCCCCGTTCACCTTGCTGAAGACGGTAACTTTCGCCCAATTCGTTTGCATTCGTCGGACTCGAATGCGCGTCGCTTCCGCAAGACGCTCTAGCCTTTACTCGAGTTACTATTTGAGACATGTCCGCATTTTTGATGCGACGGGTTGTTTCTCAGCCGGCTTGTAGCATGCCCTTCCTTGAAAGGGCATGCCTGATGCTGGAATTGTGAGCAGACTTTTGCCGCAGAAATTAGGCTCAGGGTGGAGTCAAACTTGTGATCTTTAGCACTGTAATTTTACGTAGAGCACTAATCATTAGATTAACACTGCTCCTATACTGTCAGTTCTGAATCACTTAAATATGAGTCGCTAAGCTTGGCAAATGAAAGCGAAAAATTTTTTGATTACGATACGTTTTCAGAAGTTTGTATGCAAGTTACGGGCCTGCGAAGCCATGGATATTAGAGATACTACAGTTCTACACCCTATTTGTTGCGTGGATCGTATTCTACAAAAGAATGACTCCTATGCAGACAAAGACTAAAGCAGTGGAAGGATCATCCAAGCAATAGGATTATATCATCATAGAATATTTACGATAAACTGTTGAGCTGCAAATCGTTGTTACTTTTATGAACTTATGTTGCATATTGTCACTTGCTGAACTGCTTGGTACTCTCTAATTAAAGCTATGCGTCCTCTTTAAGCCTTATAAGGCATGATAGATAGTCAAATTGAATGTCCACGTGAAACAGTTGCAGCAGGGTCAGGGGGGGGGGGGGGGTTCAAGACCCTTCAAGGTGGGAAGTCACTTGCACATTCTTATAATCCATATAAGTATAAGACAACATACGACATATAAGTAACTTTCAAAAATTTCGCGACCCATTCTCGGGGGGGGGGGGGATTGAACTTGCTGGCCGCAAGTATGACTGAAGATTCCAAGGACACTTTCAGAAGCTCCACTAGGCATGTATATGTGACAAGAATGTTAAATGTACCAATCGGCCTAGAAATTCTGCTTTCGAAGCATCACTGAAGTCTCACTCTCCACAAAAGCGCTCATCTCTATCAGCGATGACCATCGATAATTTTTAAAACTTTTTTGTTATGCCTTTCAAGGGCACATACAATTTACCTGTACTTTGGAGATGCTCTGCTACAAATATGCAAAATCTGGTTATATTTCATAGCCTGTGAATTTTTTTAAAATCTTTTATGTGGCAACAAATAATGAAAAAGGGGATCGTATCTGGGTCGCCCCCCCGTCCCCCTCGGACCGCCACTGCCGTATTCCTACAGCAAGAATGACAAAGAGGTCTCATTATGCAGAATGAATATCATTCCTCATCACATAACAAACAACTCTCATGCATCACAATTGAACAAAGTTCCAAGCAGGGTCAAGCGTGTCGATGCGATCCTCATTTACCCGTACGACCCCCCCCCCCTCTCCACCTCCTTCCCTCCCCCCCCCCCCTCCTCCTCCGCTTACTCTTGCGGTAACATGCATAAACGAATGTCAATCTCAAAAAATGCCTGCCAATGGACCTCAATCAAAATTGTAGGTCAGAGAAGAACCACCTACAAATTGGGAGATAATGCAAGTAATTCTTCACCACTCAAAAAACAAATAATTCTGCGTAGATTGGGTAAGTAGTAATTTTACTAATTGGCTATGCTAATTGTGGGATAATATGAATGGAAAGGACATCATCTGACGAAGCAGAACGTCAATTTCGGTTTGAATGGTATTCAAGCTGTACTCTACCTATAGAAAATGAAATAAAATAACAATCAAGAAAAATTCAGCATTACGGAACGGTTCACGTTAGTCATTATAATTGACTATTTTATAATAACTCCTTTTCTAGTGAAGGGTAATAAACTTTTCTGCTGTTTGTGAATGTTTGGCATGATTCTTTCAAGGTCCTTACAAGGGAGGTGTTTTCGGTCGAAGTGGCCTTTTCACGTGAAATTGATACGACTATAAAGAGCATCAAACGCTGATTCCAAATCTGTCTTCATTATCTGCCGAGCGCCTCTAGACGTCGAGTTATGAGCGTTTTTTGAGTTGAGAAATTAAATGCATAATTAGGACAATAGATTTGCTCAAATGGTTCAATGTTGATTATCAAAGCACTTTATTTGAACAATACCGTCTATCTAAAGCATTCATACTTAAGACTGCTCTATTTGAGCGCTAAGAAGACCGCAAAATTTTATTTTACTTAGATTATGCGTTCATTTTTCGCATCAAGAAAATATTCATAACTCGACGTTTAGAGGCGCTCGGCAGATAACGAAGACAGATTTGGAATCAGCGTTTGATGCTCTTTATAGCCATATCAAATTTATGTGAAAAAGCCACTTCGACCGAAAACACCTCCCTTGTTAGTACCGAAAGATGTAGACTATGGTTCTGGAAAATAGAACGTTTCAGACCTCAACGAAGTCCCGTGTTCTATCCCCCTACGCGGCAAAATTTTTGCAGGGAGAAAGACGATATCTTTACGTAAAAATTGTTTTCGACTAAAAAGCTTGCTTTCTATCTATTGCACAGATTCCCCTGCGAAAAAAATCGTTATAGCGCCTTCCAGAACGATGTCAAAAACGTGCATGAGCTTGGTATTCTGAAAATTCGTAACTAAGGTGAGGGAAAGACTGAGAGGCTGTAATGAATAGGATGTGTAGTATTCTGCCCATACTATCAGGAAAAAGTTCAGCCACTGACAAGCAGTGAGCTCGAAAAAATCTCGATGCGACTCTCGCAAGTTTAGATGCTATCTCGAAAGCAAAAACTAGGATTTTTAAGATTCAAATTTTGTAACTCACCGGAGAAGCTATGAAACAGCCTAAAATTTTTATGATAGAAAGTAGGAGGATGGCCTCGTAATACAGCAGAATTGCAGCGAGCAGGCCTCCATAGCGGCTAAAAAATTTAGATGCGACCCAGATACGACCCCTTATTTCACTTTTTGTTGCCACATATAAGATTTTAAAAAAATCCACAGGTTATGAAATATAACCAGATTTTGCATATTTGTAGCAGAGCATCTCCAAAGTACAGGTGAATTGTATGGGCCCTTGAAAGGCATAACAAAAAAGTTTTAAAAATTATCGATGGTCATCGCTGGTAGAGATGAGCGCTTTTGTCGAGAGTGTGAGACTTCAGTGATGCTTCGAAAGCAGGCCGATTGGTACATTTAACATTCTTGTCACATATACATGCCTAGTGGAGGTTCTGAAAGTGTCTTTGGAATCTTCGGCCATACTTGTGGCCAGCAAGTTCAATTCCCGTCTGCGACACCTTTTTTGCAGGGAGAATAATGCGGTTTTTTAAAGAGTAGAGAATGTTTGCGAGTGAGAAGCTTATTTCCTACATTCCACACTTTTTTAATTCGGACCGCCCTCTCTTACCCCCCCCCCCCCACCGCCACTGCCCCCTTTACGACCCCCCGTTGCGACAGTCGCATCACACGCTTGACCCTGGGCCCAAATTTCCGAATATTAGGCTACCAGGTGAAACAGTCATTTTTAATATGGTTAACATTCTTAAAGATAAGTAGCTATATTATGATGCACTTCATACATAGCAGCATAGCACTACTCCTTGTTTCACAGCAGAATTTTGTTAGAAAATCAGTGGGGTGTGTGGCACATCCAAAAAAGGCGCGTCTGCCACAGCTTGATGCATGGCGTCATCCACGCACTCCGAAAATTTTTTGAGATGCATTTCAGAGAATTTTTGCGGGTCTATGACTACAAAAAATTGAGAATAAAGGGCGTGGCGGCAACGGGCAACCTTCCTCGGTCCCACTTGGTCTGACTGGTGGTCCTGTGCCACGCCTCTTCCCCGACCCTGTTTAGAACTTGACATCAGCGTCCAAAGACATGGAGATTGCACGTGGAAACTGTTCGGCGGGGGGGGGAGGGGAAGGCTGACTAAGGCACTGCCTACCCGGAAGCGCAAAAGGTGCACTTGCACCTAACTTTCATGTTTCAAAGATCTTGCTGTGATCGGATGATCAATTGCATCGGCTTGCAGTTTTTCTCTAGGAACAGGGCGCAGCACAAATGTAAAGTTGAGCAACACTTTGTTGTTTTTTTGACAAATGGCATAGGGGATGGCGAACATCTTAGAATTGCATACACTTGTCGTTCCAACATGCTCACTTGCTTCGCCATCAAATTAATTCATGACTCCATGTCAAACGCGTCCTTTATCACAAGCGGCGCAATTTTGAATGATGCTAAATCAAACAAATGGCTTGTTTGCAGCACACAGCTAATCATATAATACCAAATTTGGACTAAATGTACATAATATTACTCATATATATTATGTAAGAATACTTGATCTTTTCTACATCATCACCGACTAATTGGATTGGTTTGGAGCATAAATATCGAAGAAGTTACGTAAATCTGGACCTTTCTAGCTTTAGCTATCAAGGCTTTCAAAATCTATAAAAGCAAAATCGAGCCGAATCTCTGCCCCTTCCCTATTTTTGGGCCAGAAATAGGTCCAAAATGGTAGTTTTAAGAAATGTAGCGCTCCTCAAGAGCTGACAGAAAGATCAGAGATACTATGTGAGGCAAGACTTAGAGTAATATCGCCGTCTTACTTAAGTACAATCTAATGCTGCAAGAAGAGGCGCAGAGAGAAGGTCGTTGCTAGAATTCTTTTGACACTGAGAATCAAATGTTTTTCTTTTAATTTTTTCTATTGAAAAAAATTTTGTGGACACTGATGTTTATCTTCTCATTGAAACAATAGTGAAACAAAATACATCAAAGGAATTACGGATAACTTGTGCAAGGTCTCGGCCAGCCTGGGAACCCACCACCCTCCTATGATCCCGCATAAAATTTTGCAAGCCTATGCAACTCGTCCGCCAAATAGTGTCGACGAAATGTGCTTGGGCAATATGCGTACTGCACGCGATGCACTTAACCTCACGACTGAATTTTTGCAAGTTGTCTATTCTAAAAAATTTGTTCTTGTTTTCTCCTCTTGTTGACTATATAAAGAATGTTTCACTTCGGAGTAGGCGAAGCATTTGAAGCGAAGCAGCACCTCCGTATCGCTGGAGGCTTTTGCATGCGAACAGCCTTGGCATTTCGCCAAGTAAAGAGTGAGGGGGATGAAGAGACGCAGGCATGGGTTCTTGGCACGATGTGACATACTGTAGCTGCGGAACGACGCGACGTGTTGTGCGGCGAAATCCCGTAAATCCAATTACCGCATAAAGATAGTTGGCTTCTGAATTGCTGATTGGTCAGTTTGAATCAAAGGGTATTAGGTCATTCGGAAAGTTTTTTCGTTTTCGCACCACCAAATTCAAACGAGAACAACTTTTTCCAAATTCGCCTTTTTCCACCAAATAAACTTCGTAGTGTTCAGCATACTTCTGGCAACAGCCCTGTAGTGCTGCTCTGCTTTTCCCTTGCGAAATAATCACAGAGGAATTAAGAAAGCCTACAAAGGCATTTTTGACTAGCTAATATTTATTGGGCCCTACCTTTTTTGAATAGGCACCGAGGAACTAGAAAAAGTGGTGATTGCTGAAGTAAGGTGTAAGGAGTTCGAAAAATGAACAGGAACGTCGGCACGCAGTTAATCCCTTGTGAGAGCCACCTCTTTCTTATGGTGTGGCGGATCATAGGCGAGGATGACACCTCTCATAGTCATATGTGCAAGTCTGGTCAGTTTTAGAATTTTGACAAACGCTTTTTAGACCGATATCGTATTACTCTGCCCTGACAGTACAATCACATTTTAGCAAGTTTATAGCGTACACTACCAGCAGGATTACAACAATTTGAGTTCATAATCCTTGTAGAGTGACTGATTGTTTATGGCCGATCTTTCAATGCTCGTTCTGAATGGTCTATCACAACCTTGCTTCTAATGGTCGTACTTGCCCAGTTATATGCTATGAATATCAGTTCTGGCCAAAAAGGAATTGCTTCATCAAGTTGTAAGCGGCGGAAGCAGCGTCAACGCGCCGTTAATCCGCGAGTGCGACAGTTTGTGGGGTGTTTACTTACTGAAATTTTTTAGTATTGCAGATTTAGCGAAGGCGGCTTCCAATGGGGCTGTGTCACATTTCAACCTCTGCTGATAATTTTAAGCAGCTATATATGCGATTTGCATCGAAGGACCCTTTGATATAATCGCCTATATGGCAGGAACACCTTTCAGAACTTTACAAAACATTAGCTTTCACTTCTCTAGATCTGAATCTTCTGCAGCAATCTTGCAACAACTCCAAGAAAGACGCAGCCTTGGCAAATGCACTGCGCACAACGGCGGCTTCTTCAACTGCCTTACGTAGAAGTTTGAGCTTAGAGAATGCAATCACTCGAAAATCATGTTTTATCATGTCGAATTTGAAGCCCATAAAATCCCACACAAAGCGATTTTTGCAGTTTTGGTGGGATTTCCAGAAACTAGAAGAATTCCTCTACAGAACCATATATGGCAATCCCTGTAAGCCCTCTAACATTCTCTTAAAATATGGCACTAACATCAAAGGCGCAAAAAGCGAAAAACTTTCCGAATGACCTAATACTACTAGTATTTCGCTTGAGGAGTCATGAGTACGAGGAATGTGCGAATCCCACATCAGGATGCAGATGACTACCGTATGTACTTTTGAAATTTCGTAATGCCAAACTCTGTTGTTTTGGTCTCCATGCACATTTTCGCATAGGGTAAAGGGGTCTTTCCTTTTGACTTTCTTACGCAGGCGAAGTTGGAAATGGTCAAATTCTTTCGAATTCCTCAAACTATTTCAAAGCTCATCTGTGGAAAGAAAAAACAGATGTGAAAATTTGTTGAGTTTGTTTCGCAGCAATGGTGGAATTCTGAACATCTACAAATAAAAAAAGCAAAAGTGCTTTCCCCTTCTTAATGGCTAAGGGAAATTTCTTGAATAATGGTCTCCCTTGCAAATATTAGGTCGTTCCGAAAGTAATGTCGCTTTTTTCAAACGTATGCCACATTTCGTGGAACAAAGATGTGTAAGAGATTCTGGTAGCATTTGATGCAGCATTTCATTCTCATTCTGAGGGTTATGAAGTTGTTGCAATACAGTCAATGAGTTTTCAGAAAAGAGTCAGAATCTGCGGCTTCTCTAAATTTATATAACAACCCTTGGTTGTTGTTCTGTGAGGTTTGACTTGACTAAATATGGAATTCGATGGCATTGAGAAATTGATTGTAAAAACTCTGAGAAGCAAGCTAAGGAAAAGAAAAAAGTTACTCTGCGTCCTATAGGGTTTGCTCTATCTACCTGTCACTTGTACCTCTTCGGAGAATAGGCACAAAAATTTAAAAAAACAGCCGAACTTGACCATGGCAAAAAGCACGAGTCGCAGAGTTTGGTAATTTTTCGAGAACTCACTAAACATTATGCAGTGAAATCATAACCATTAGAAAGAGGATGAAATGCTGCATCGAATGCTCCTAAGATCTTTTGAAAATCTTGATTCCACGAATAGTGGCGTTCAATCGAAAAAAGCGACATTACTTTCGGAACCCTAATATCTATCTAATATATAAAGAATCGTTAACTCATTTCAAAAATGTGCAAATAGCGGGAAACCGCATGGCGGTCCCGAAGCGAAGGCTCTTCCAAATAGCACCTTTAGATTACTGGTTCACTAGTATTCTTCATCTGAAAGATTCACTTATGAAATGCTTTAGTTTCCAGAAGTCTATAGGGGAAGGGAGAGAGGGAGAGGGGAGGGTGGAGGAGGCGTTTTTTTCGTCATCGAGGTTCCCGCTCGCATCACCTAGGCACTACAATGAGAATAGAAGATCCCAGAAATTTAATGAATATTTGAATCCACCAAACTGTTTACATTTTTATTTCTTTATTGAATCTATGTATATATCTTCTGATTACTCTTACTCGTGTCTACTCTAATGCTACAAAAGTGAATACATTTTGTCAACAATTCGTTTCCATGGTTCAACGAGATCGGCATCTGCTATTTTGAGACCATTGCAAACATATGCATATGACAGATTATTATGCATATCCACTCGCACATTCTGCCCTCCAAATCCGGAATGTCCAAAGATCCATTGACCCTGAAAAATGAGAGCGTTTCTGATACAGAATTAAATAGATTTTTGTTGAAAATAAAAGAAAAACAATCTCGAAATTTGAAACTCCCAGTTTTCGCAGAAGAAAATTTGCCTCGGGGAGGAGAAGTTAGCTGACATCTGGTTACGATACCTATATTGATTGCTAATTGCATGACACATCTCTTTGACGAGGTTACGTATAACCCCTTACCGTATATGTAAGTATACGGTAAGGGGTTAGAGTCTCAAAATTAGACGAGACATTGTTCGGGGGGGGGGCGTTCATGACATGCTGAATATATTCATTGAACCTAGTCAGTAATGAGACCCTCTTCTGTAGTATAATTGGGGGGGGGGGGGTGAGGGGCATATAACTGTCTACAGTAACCAAACAAAGATAGTGCTGCAATGAGTGGATATAAATAGCTGGCAGTGTCGGATGCAGGATTTCCCTCCGAGAAGGGGAGGGGGAGGGGGGGGGACAAATTTGTTTTCAAATGAAGCTGCATGGCAAAAAAATTTTTAGGGTGCTTTTCAAAATTTTTGTAGGCTCATAACCCGTGAAAACTAGGAAAGGAAGTGGGGCAGCCACGCCCTTGAAAATTTTTTTTCTACAAGGCTAATTTGGAATTTTGAAAAACTTCAAAAAATACTTTGATTATTTGCGAGAATTGCGCATTTTTATAACCTATCTAGATAGATTTCAATATTTTGCGACCCATTCTTGGTTAGGACGCACCCCTTCCCCGATTCGGCGCTAATAACTGGACATATGTTGTTGCCGCCCCCTCCCCCCCTACCGACTAGCTAATTTCAAGCTTCGAAATTTTTTTGTCAAACGTATCAAAACTTGTCTAGTAACGTTATCAAAGGATCTACCAGCACTACTGAAGATAACTTTACCGAAAACTTTCCAGCAAAATCTAATATAGAATTTTCGGGAGCGAGATACCAAATAACCAAAAAAAAACTTTCTAATCCCGCCTTCGGATTTTTTGTGAACTGGAAGCCGAATCCCTTGCTCTCCTCATAGCCTAGCACACAGTCATAACCATTTTCCAAAACGGGCTGCTCGAAATGTTTGTAAAATCCATCGCTCAGAAGTTTGCGTTCAGCCAGAAGAGAATGGAACTGCGCCAGTGATCTTGCGGTTCCTATGCCCATATTCGATGGCATCGGTAGCAATCGATTTTCGAGGATGTTGTACTAAAAACAACAAATGTTCAGTTGTTTCTTTTTGGGAAGGGGGGGGGGGTAACATTACGTCGTCGGTGTTGATCCAGGGCCATGTTTCGTAAAGGCGCTTATTGTGTTCATTTTCTCCGGCATTCCATCGTCGCAACGCTTCGGGATCCCGTCGTCCTTCAGCTTCGATCTGCATTTCACCCGGATACTGCGTGAGGGCGACACGTTCGTTGTCTTGGGCAGATTTTAGGCCAATAGATAGGTCTTGGATGTCTGAAACGATGTGATAAGCGGAAATTGTCATTATACCATTTGACTCAACTGGCTTGGCTTCTGAAAGGCGGGGCTTTGTGACCTCTTTACGGCTAGATAGTGATCAGAGAGCACTCGCGCGAGAGAGATGCAGGTGCGTGGCGCGAACGGCCTTAATTAGGTCACAAAGCCCCGCCTTCCAGAAGTCAAGCGAGTTTAATCAGAGGTTACTCATAGGACGTAGTTACCGTATTTTTGCGTCAGGTCCTTGAAAATGTCATTGAGACTTCGCTTCTTCGAATCAATTCGTTGCACAATTTGATCTACGAGGATGCTAAAATTGATGATTTTGAGAAAATTGATGCCAGTTTATATTTTCAACCGTACTTTTCCATTTACTAGTGAACCAATAGTCTAAAGGTGCTATTTGGAAGAGAGTTTGCTTCGGGACCCGACGCGGGTTCCCGCTATTGAAAGATTTTTGAACGCTAAATTATTCATATATTAGACTCCCATTTTTTTTAAATTATGCTTTCATGATTTCTATTTAACATATAAAGACGTAACGTCATTTGAAGAAACATCAAATAGCGAGAAGCCGCGGTGGGTCCCGAGGCGAACGCTGCTAGAAATTCCTTTAGATTACTGGTTCATTAGCCTTGAATGAAGAAGCGCAGAACCTATGAAATGTTTGTTTAGTCATTTTTCGTACTGTTAATAGTCGAGAAAAACACCAAAGTAATGAACGTGACAGAGGGTGAACAAGGGGGGGGGGGGAGACAGGCATAAAGGGGCGTGGTTCCTCAGGATCCAGCGAGCTAAGACTTGTCGATGCTTTCGCAACCAAATAGATTTTACCTTCTCTCATTTATGGATAGAGCTAGTACTCGCATTCCTCCCCTCCCACCCCTCACCCCAAATCTTCTGAACCCATTTTGGTATCAAAGATAGAAGCTCCTACCCAAAGGTTAAAGCGTGGTAACCTTGTTGTTGCCCTGGTTTCCAGACCGGTGTAGCTCGTTCAAAGTAGGAGCTCATCCATCGCCTATCGGAAAAATTTTCTCTGCTTACCATTTGGTTGGTATACGGTAGACCAGCCTAAATATTTATTTTACTCAAACAATGAGGAAATTTTTTTGATCGTGGAGGATATGACGAACCTGATGCAATACGACATTTTGAATAGTAATATTCTCCTTTCCATTTTGAGCAAATTCTGGCCAGAAATCTGCTACCTTCCGATCATAGGAGATTCCTTCTTGATCCATGATGGTGGCCAATACTGTAGCAGATAAACTCTGTAATAGCAAAATTGCTGGAGTTTCACCCCTAAAGTGTTTCCCTCACCTTTGTAGTTGAGAAAAGTACTGACATTGTGTCTTCTGTCCAAGGTTCACCACTATCTCGGTTAGCTAGACCTCCCCATAAGTCTATCACGAGTTCACCATTGTGGTAAGCTGCAAAACTGGCTCCTGCTGCCTCCAGTCCCATTGCGAAATTTTCTCTGAAGTCATCCATTTCATTTTAAAACTCAAAAATTGCGGGTATATTTTGTACCTGAATACATCCTCAACTTCAGCAAAGCGAGGATCTAAAACCCGACCACCTATTGTTGAGACGGCATGAACCATATCTAAATCTTGAACCATTAAATGACAAAAATTCTTTTTGGGATGCAAAAAGTCGATTTTTCGACCACGTTTTAGATATAGGCACAATGTGTGAAGAAAGGGTGTGCGCTTTTCAAAAAACAACATTGCCAGCATCATCTTCCAAAGCAAACAAAGTACTTCAGAAAAGTCCAAAAAAGCCAAACTTGAAGCTGACATAATTGCATATGCTTTTCGTAAATATCACGCAGGAGAATTTGATATTTGACGTTTTTAAGATTACTAATTATTGAGAAAAATGCAACACCATTTTGTTTACACAGGATGTCCCAAAAAGATGTGCCTACTGTTTGATTCTTAATGACTCTCTTGTAACGAAGTCTTTCGAGAAGCTTCAGCTACCATTTTGTAGAGCTGATTTTAACTTAGATTTACAGTATCGAGCGATCGCTCTTCATTAGTGTAGGATTACGATAGAAACTTCAAGCATATGGTGTTACTGTAAAAAAAGCTGCCATTTCAGAAATTTTCAAAAAAGTGAAAACATGGTAATAGGGTTTTCATGGACGCTGAGTTCAATACTCAACTATATACAGGATTGCGAATCTTTCAAACGGTTAACCGCACTTTTTTAGAAACATTGAAAAAATGGCCGCACCTCTTACCTCTCATAACTCTTCAGTGAAGCACCATAATAAGTTGGAAACTTTACAGCTAGAATCAGCAGCTCTAATTGGCCTAGTGTAAAAGTTTTCAGGCTGTTTTGATTCCTTTCTGAGGCAAAATATGGCCTTTCATGGCCCAAAACCCTCTTTCAAGTATCTACCGTAATCCTACAGTAGTGAAGAGCAATCGGTAAACCGCTCCATAACATAACTCTAAGCTGAAGCCAGCTTTACAAAATGATACCTATAGCTTCTCGAAAGACTTCATAAGAGAGTTATTAACAATCAAACAGTAGGCACATCTTTTTGGGACACCCTGTATATTTTGAAGCGACAAAATGTGATTAGATAATCAGTGTCTGTCACAAAATACAAAGCTGGAACAGAAAGTACGGAACAGCATGAAGCACGGAACAAGAGCGTATGGTTCGAAAGTCCGTTAAACATGATATTTTATATTTTCGGCACAAGCTTAGAACAAATATAGAATTGACATCAAATATGCGGAATGAAAATCGGAATTCAAAAAAAAGGATGCGTCTACAAAAGATCTTATAATTCAAAAACATACGTTCAGCCGTGGCGGTTGCAGGATGTCCCGAAGGGGGGGGGGACAACAAATTTCTTCTATCGAAGGCACTCTGAAAGTTACTTTAGGATGCTTTCCAAAATTTTTGCAGCCATGGACCCCAAGATTATAGAAAAAAGGGGCGGTTTACGGTTTACTTGAATTATCAAAAATTTCAAAAGTTATTCCAATTATTTACAAGTATAAAGAAGTTACTTGCGGTAGTTATAGTAGCTCGAAAACAACGTGAAAAATGACTCTTGAGAATGCTGAGATTCGGAAGAAACGAGAAATCATTATTTTCTCAGAGATTTTCCACTCTGACTGAAAGAAGTTACAAGATTCCATGATTTCGTATGAGAAACGGAGAGAAATCTAGGATAACTTTGTAATCTGTTCCAAAGGCTGTTCTTCACAGGCTGCCTTTATAGCAATTACTACAACAATTCCTAATTTTTTTCCTAATTAGGTTCGTCAAAAGTGAAGTGAACATAGCCAATCTGTAGAGAAGCTGTAACGGATAATGAGCAGGTGGGCATGCATTCTAGTTAAAAATCGAAATGCTATCGCTCGGCATAAAAAGCGTATATTCGTAGAAGATTTGCATTCTTCGATTTCAAAGCCATAATCTCTTTATAGAAATTATATTATAAAACGATGGGATATTACCTCCATTGTTATGCAGTGATCTAGTGCGGCTTAGAATAACGGGAATAAGAAAGAATGAAATCCTTTTAAGGAGCGTTCATCATTGAGGTCTAAATGTGCTGCAAATTTTGCTTGAGATTCAACGAGAACAGCGTTTTTTTAGATGAGTAGTAATAAGAAAACCATATAAAATCACACTCTGTTGCTTCAAGATATATAAGCGAAAAGATGATGTATTTTTGCGCAATAATTAAATGTATCAAAAACAGGATCAAGTATCATATTTTCCTGCTGATATCTGCGAAAAGAATATGCATTTACGTGAGCTTCAAATTTGGTATTTTTCTACTCTTCTGACTCTTCGACTGTGAATAACCTTTGTAAAATTGCGTATTTTTTCGTGGTATCCAAAAGAATAAGATAGACATTAAGGGTCGGGCATACTTCACGCGATTTCAGTCGCGATGCGATTTGGCAATTCGCCAGAAGTCATTAGATCCAACACTAGCAAACTGCACATGCATATTGTGTATAAGTTACGTGGATTGATAAAATGTCCTATCTTCTGTACATTTGAAATGTGCTGACAGTGAGTTATGGACAGTTGGAATATTGCCAAATCGCGTCGCGACTGAAATAGCGTGAAGTATGTGGCCCTTTATGTAAGGTCAAACTAATGTAGAACCATATTGTTTGACAAATTATCATCTAAAAACCAAAAATAACTTAGAAATTGTGTTTATCAAAACATATGCGCCTTGACTGCAATGTGTAATCTAACAGGTGCTGCAATTTTCTGCAATAATTGCCGTCAAATTTTGAAGCAAAAGAAGAAAATTTTGTGGCTCTGGAATGGACAATATTACCATGACTCGAGAATGATATTATACAGAAAGATTTGCAGAGTAACTCGGCCCACAAGGAGTTCTAGGAAGTGCTAAGAGCTTGGAAAGACTTTCACACCGTAATTATCGCGTTGCTAAGAAACCAATGGGGGCTTTTGAGCGGCGCATTTAGGGGCAAGGAGCTTGTTAACCTATCATTTCACCATAAAAGCAAGAAACTGAGCCATTAAGTAAATCAAAGCAGCCCGAAATGCACACTTAAACGGCTCTAGTGCAGCAAAAGTGCATTAATGGCTGACTTGCACATTCCCCAATGTGCACTTTGATTTTCTCACATTCTTTAGCTGCCAAGAGCTCAATTCGATGGAATCACAGTTGAAAAAAAGTAGTAAAAATTCAAGATCCCAAAATCAAATTCCCACTCTTTTTTGTTTGAAGCTGCATTAAACAATAATATTTGATTTTATTTAGCAGGCAGGAAGAAAATAATTTTCTGGAAAGGGCGTAAAGCCACTAGCCAAGATTGGTGGATAAATAGATAACATCCTGCCCAACAAATGGAGTTTTAGATTTAGGGCATGGAATAAAAGTTATAGCAGAAATGGAATCTTTATCGTCTGTGGTTAAATTTTTTTAATTGACCACGGTGTGGACCACCGGTGGGCCACGCAATTTTTGCCGCCAAGGACAATGTGGACCACCGGTGGCCCACACCGTGCTCATATTTTTTCAAGGTCTGGTATTCCACAGTTCAGCATATTTTTTCCCAATTCTTTTCATTCTTGAAACTTGTAGACTTCGTCGTCCAGAAAGATCTGTAGTTCACAAAACACTTTTACATTTCGTATAATCACAAAACTTTCCCGGCCGGAAGTGTGCAAAACTGCGTTGCCCCATAGCGCAGCCACGCAAAATTAGCGTCGTCGTCAGTGAGGTTAAAAATGACCTATGAATTTTGAAAGTGGCTTTCATGAGTAAAAATGTGCAAGTGACTTGTTTAACTTGTAGAAAAATCGGAGTAATTGGTTAAAATTTCTACAAAATCATGCTAGATTTACAAAAAAAAATTTTTGAGTGAAGTCCGCGAAAATTTTGAAACCATCCCATATCTATCTCCCCCGTCCCACCCATCCGGGTAGAGGACTATATGTCGCCGGAAGTGAAAGGGGCACGCGCGGACGATGCAGCAGATACTCAGCCTGTGCATATACTGGAATGCGTGTTTGTTGCAGATGTCCGGTTGGACCTCCCACTTTCGGCGACTAATCCCCTATCCCCATCCCAGAAACAAATATGTACGATTCTATACCGTGTCTGTGAGATGGTGTCACAAAAAATATCAAGTAAGAGATAGTTCTGAGAAATTTTTAGAATAAAAAGGCCAAGCCATGGAAGCATAAGTATCCAAAAATGCTATTTTCGGCATTTTAGCAAGGTCTCTCCCCCCTCCCTACTCCCTTGTCCATCCTACTTCTTCTGCACAACTTTTAAGCATTCATAGGAGTACAAACAATCAAATTGTGCCAATGGGTGGAGGGAGGAAAAGGAAGAAACGAAAGTTTCAAAGTTCAAACAACATGGACGCCAGGGATTAGGATGTCGGAATCCATTGCAAGAGTGATTTATGTGTGCAAGCTTATGGAGATAAATTTTTATTGTACGGCATTTCCAAAATCTTCAGGATTACAATTGGTAGTCTCAATTGCATAGTAAAGAGATTAAAGCCTCAAGGAAAAAATTTACTAAAAAAATCGTTCAAATGAATATGTAACATGTGGAAAATGTGGGAAGTTCTGTGCATCATTTCCCTTAAACTTCTTCAGAGTTCTTTTTATTCCAGGTTTCCTCATCAAAAGGATCAGTCGGTCATAGTGAAGTCAGCTAATTTCAAAATCCTTTTCAACAATTTTTATATGGAACATTTAGCTTTTTTTACGGCAGTGGGACTAAGAAAATTCTAATAAACACTAAAAAAAGGTCAAGCATGAGTTTTTTTTTTACTTTGGAAGAAGTTCCGGATGTTCCTCTTAGCATTTTGCAGCAGTAGTGGAATTATCTTTCTCAACCTCAGCCGTGGGAAACTTTCTTAAAGGAGAAGTAAGGAATGGAGTTAAGAACAAATTATTTCGAAAAAAGTTTCTATTTTATTTAAAAAAAAACAAAGCTGAATTCCCATTCTCAACGCATTGAAAAAAGAAAGATTCAGAAGCCATGATTAAGAACTGTAGACATAAAAAACTTCTGTATAAACTTGAAATTTCATTTTGTCATCATGAAATCCTTGCAAAAAGATTT